CAGATATTTAGAGATGTACATTATTATTCGTTTTTTGTTAGCAGAGAAGCAACGTCTTCTGATTGGTTGTTTTCCTGCTGAAGGTTATTCTGTCATCTCTTTGTTGCCGTCCGTTTCCTAGACAGTCTTGTGATATATCTGCGAATTGTATCCGTCAACGCTAAGCCCGCTGTGATTGGTTGTTGAGTTCCTCAAGGTTAGGCTTTGTTCTTTTTATTGTTTTTCTCATGATCCCGATTTGGGACGTAAACATTGACGTCAATTGTTGTCTAGAATTTTGTCTTGCAGACAGCTTTCACCACAGTATGACTGAACTAAGGACTCTGAGGAAATATGTGTTATCAACACAAAGGAGGAGTGCGAAATTGCACCTGGGCCTAGTGGGGAAAATATCGGTTAAAACAAAAATTAAAACACCTAAAGTATCCGTAGGGGGCTAGACATTTATTTAGTTAATACTAAGTTTATTCGGTTGAATCTATTAATTTTGGTTTTAGGTTTAATTTGGTACTATGAAAGATAAACTACTACATGATGGAGAAGATTTGTAGCTCAGGTGGATGATTTTTATGTGGTTGTGTTCTCTGAGCGAGCTGGATAGTTAATTTGCGAAGCTTTCATTGCCCTCACTAGGCAACATCTTCAGCGCATACACTCAATTTGAAGGAAGTGAGCTTTTAGATTTCTCCACGAGTTTATTAGTCATCTCTCCTGGTGACCACCTTGAACGTGACTCTTTGGTTGTTTTTGTGTGTTTTCACACCCTCTAGACTACTACTTGTATTGGAACTGATTGTTTCCTTGACCTGAACTTTGACCCTTTGTGTGTGAGATTTCCTTCGTATCGAATCGAGGTCCCCCAAGGAAAGGACAAAGAAAATCGCCCTACCATATATAAAGGACATCTCAGAAATCACAGCAAGACTTATCAAACCTTTAGGAGTTGACGTCGCACACAAACCAACAAAATCACTTCACTCAGTTCTATGTCAACCAAAAGACTCAACAGCGAAAGAAGATAAAACCAACATCATCTACAAAATAAATTGTAACAACTGCGAAAAACACTACATTGGCCACAGTGGACGTCCCCTTCGTCTTCCTATCCATGAACATAAACTAGCCGTCAAAAGACATGACATCCACTCCCTCATATCGCCTCACTACATACAGACAACCACGGACATCAATTCGACTGGAACAACCAGCATTCAAATATTAGACAGAGAATTTTTAGAAGCCTGTTATTCCAGTGAATCGTCAATCAATAGACACATCGAAATAGACAAAACCTACCAACCGATAAGAAGGAAATCTCACACACAAAGGGTCAAAGTTCAGGTCAAGGAAACAATCAGTTCCAATACAAGTAGCAGTCTGGAGGGTGTGAAAACACACAAAAACAACCAAAGAGTCACGTTCAAGGTGGTCACCAGGAGAGATGACTTATGAACTCGTGGAGAAATCTAAAAGCTCACTTCAAATTGGAGTATGCGCTGAAGATGTTGCCTAGTAAAGTAGGGCAATGAAAGCTTCGCAAATTAACTATCCAGCTAGCTCAGAGAACACAACCACATAAAAAATGAACTACTATCTCAGGATAAAACGTTAATTTTTTAAGAAAGATAAGGATAACTGCAACAGTATCCATGATGAAAGTCCATGGAATTGTTGACTATTTACCTTTACTGTGTAGTTAATAAGAATACTTATAATAATAATAATTTGCTTTATTCCAAAACAGCAATTATAAATACATTGTGGAATTTTCAGCATTTTGTACAATATTACATCTAATTTACTCGACAACGACAAAAACAGAAGCAAAACATTATAGTATAGGGTACATTAACCAAAATTGATGATATCAGCTTTCAGCATTAACAGAAATTGTGGGGTCAAAGTGGTGTACGAATGCAAAATGATAAGGATAATAATAATATTAGTATTAATAACACAAAATTATAAGATAATGGGGATAGTGTCACTATAGAATTATAAATACAAGCTTGCCTTGTAATCAGAAGGTCCTGGGTTCGAACCCCAGTGGGTGCGTACTACTGAAGAGTCCCAAACTAGGACGAAACAGCTGTCCAGTACTCCCAGGTTTTCCAGTGGTTCTCTTATTGATGTCAGCTCATGATGAAATCCTCCATGCAATCAAACAAAATCCCTACAAAACCAGTACTTGAAAATATGGAAGAATAACGGAGTCATTTTTTGTGCTAATTACACAGGAAGTCGTAATTTTCACGTTTAATAGCATTATCTTTATCACGTAGAACGTGGGCCAAATAGGGTCTTGTTGACATATAGTCTTTCATACTGACTTCTAGTCCTACCTGATGACGTGCTAAGAGAGAGTTGTGAATAAAGGCGGGTGTTGAGAGTCAGACAATATGGATTTAGACCATTTCTCACTTGACTTTAGGTGTCTGCCCACTATGATATTAACAAGCTGACTAGGTGGCACACAAACTGGCCTACTAACAACTTTTAATACCCTTCTCACTATGACATAGTCCTTTTTGAGTAGCCTAGAAAAGATTACGGTGGGTTCAGCAATAAAGAATAAAAGGTAAGATGCAAGAGCTAACAAGTTGTAAAAGAAAAAAAAGTTGAGTAGTTCCAGACTTTCTTAACTTTTTATTTGAATAACTAAACTGTTGGAGAACTTTAACTGTTTGACCTTGCATTAAATTACTGAAAGACATTTGCAGTAACACAATGCCAACTCACTGTTCGATTACATGTGAAGGGTAAATCCATTATGGATAAAATTTTATTTTGATAAATCACACAGTGTAATACAGTAATATTAACTGATGTCGACGTTTCGAGCACAAACTACTGCTCATAATCATAATAATGGAGTTATACTCTACCACAGTGCCCAAGTTTTATACTTATATCAATAATGTTAAGGGTAAGGCCAAGAAGAATAAAAAGCAAGGAAGTCTGGTTGGTACTTAACCAACCAACGACCTATTGCTCAAATAATATGTAGAGGGAGAAGAAGACGGATTAGACCTACACTAATGAGACCATTGAAGTCCTCAATGTATGTATATATATATATAGTTTATATTCTTTAACTGATCACTGAGCGAGCGTGTGATTTTGGCTTACATAAAACAACATGAAATAGAATGTTCTAACATACACAGTATTCTCTTGCTACCGCAGTACTGAACTGTGTGAAAAGTATTTCGTCTCTAGCAACCAACAGACTGTTAAAATAGATATATCGTATTCTGTTGCTAAATGCTCCTGTCCATCCCAAGCAAAATACTAAGCCGCATCATCCTGGAGAGAATCAAACACACACTGGATGAAAACTTCGACCGGAACAGGCTGGATTCAGGAGAAACAAGTCATGCATTGATCAGATCGCCACATTACGGATCATCATTGAACAAAGCTAAGAATGGCAGTCACTTCTCTATCTCAACTTCATCGACTTTGAAAAGGCCTTTGACAGCGTCGATCGAGAGGTGATTTGGAAACTACTACGCTACTACGGGGTGCCACCGACAATTATACATCTGATCCAACAGCTGTACGACAATGCTGCTGCATGTGAAGTAATCCACAACGGGAAAATTACGGAATCATTCGAAGTGAGGACAGGAGTAAGACAAGGCTGCCTACTATCGCCACTGATTTTCCTGATTGCAGTAGACTGGATAATGCGACAGAAAACAGGGAATGAGGAAACAGGCATAAAATGGACTCACACAAAAAGCTTGGAGGATCTGGACTTTGCCGATGATATATGTCTGATTTCCCACAAACTGGAAGATATGCAAGCGAAAAGCAACGAGTTGACAGAAGAAGCATCAAAGAAAGAAGGGACTTCAGGTGAATATAGAGAAGACAGAGGTGATGAAGATCCCTGGACAAGAACAACAACAACAGACAACGATCAGCATAAATGGGAGGAACCTGAAAGAAACAACCTCTTTTACCTACCTGAGAAGCATCGTTTCAAATACAGGCGGAACTGATGAGGATATCAAAGCGAGGATCGGGAAAGCAAGGCAAGCTTTCACTACTCTCAAGTCTGTGTGGAGGTCAACAGCACTCAGCATCAAAAATTAGATCAGGATTTTCAACTCCAATGTGAAGTCAGTCAGTGCTATTTACTATACGGATCAGAGACTTGGCCAGAGCGTCATAGAAAGCATCTCAAACAAACTACAGACCTTCATTAACAGTTGTCTTCGCTCAATACTCAAGATCAGATGGCCGACCAGAAAAGATCAGCAACAGGGAGGAATCTCTGGGAGCGAACCAACCCAGCAGGAACCGATTGTGAAACAAATAGGCAGGAAGAAATGGAGATGGATTGGCTAGTCATACTCTGAGGAAACCATCAAGTGACATCACGAGACAAGCCATTGCTCGAGTGGAACCCGGCCGAAAGGGAAGCGGCGAGTTGGTCGTCAGTGTGTGGGTGACTTGGAGGAGGTCATGTGAAGAGGAGATGAAAACGTGTGGGCAGACATGGAGCCAGGTGAAGACTCTAGCAGAGAACCGAACGCAATGGAGACGTGTGGCTGAAGCCCTATGTTCCTCTAGGAATTAAAGGAAACAATAATAATAATTCTGTTGCTAATGCTGAAATGAACTGTGGGAATATGCGAGAATCATATTCCTTTGGAACATAATGTCTGTATAACACTACCACAATACAATGTAAAAGGTGTGTGTGTGTCAGAAAGGTATGTCTTGACAAATATTATTCGGAACATATTTTTCTGTGTTCCTCACTAAACTACTGCCTAAATGGTTCTGCCTCATCATCATCATTTTATACGTTGCTTGAGTTTAACTCACCAGTATTAGAGAAAAGAAAAACATTCTTTCAATAAAGAGAAACTGAGAAGTGAGTATCGTCACTTTTGTTTTAATTGTCATGCAGATAACAACGAAATCGTTAGTCTAAGGATGTACTGTTGACTATTTTTCCCATGTATTTTTTTTTCTGTTTAATTCAGCTTGAAGAATTACAAAATGCATTATTTCAACGAACTAATCAGTTGGACATTGAGCATTCAAAAGTTGAACAACTGAAAAATCATATGAAAAATGTACAACAAGAGATAGATTATACTAGTTCTTTATGTAATTTACGTGATAAAGAAATTCAAGAAGAGATACATCAAACAAAATTAGCTGAAAGAGAATATGAACGTTTAATACAAGAGAATAAGAAGATTGAACAAATTCAACATGATGTAATTGAGAAGAAAAGTTTTTTAGAAGTACGTTATTATTATTATTATTATTATTAAATTTGTACCGTTTACTTTTCTGTATGAAAATGAATTTCCTGTTATCTTATGAATAGTATGAGGGAATGTTCGGTCAGTGTAGACATATCGACTCCTAAAGAGAACGTTTCGACGATGTCTGTTGGTTAGCATGGTGATATATGTGTTCGAGTTTCAGTGAGAACATCATCACCCACATGAGCTTCAAGTAAAGCTAGTTGATAGGTCCCGACTAAGACTAAATGCATTTCACTTTAATATATGCGAATCAACCTAAAACCGAATAATTATTGATATGTGTTTCACAAGAGTTATCACTCATGGCTGAGTGGGCTAGTGGACGAAGCTTTGACATTTGAAATGATGGATGCTTGATTCTAGTCTCAGTAGGGACACCATCACTACTCACTGGGGATGCAGGTATGCCCAGATGACGAGTCTTAAATGCACATCCTGGATTCCAGAGCTTGTAACTGTCAATCAAATGAGAACACTCTGCCATTGCCTAAAATCAGTCAGTTAGTACTACGGATTCCCTCAGTAGAGTGCAATTCACCAAAATGACTGGAAAACTTTGTGTTGGCTGGAGTAATAATAGTAATAATAATCTACTTTATTCCAAAACAGACAGTACTTATAATACAGAATGGAATTCTCAGCATTTGTCACAATAGTGCATCTGATTTACTCAAAATATAAATAAAATTAAAAATTAAAACAAAATTAACCAGAGGAATTTGTCCACATTTACGGTATAAAGTCAAAAATATTCGAAGTACAAAATGAGAATATTAAACATAATAGTAATAATAATAATAACAGTGAGTTTGTTTCAAACAGTATTGTCGATTCAGTTTGGAAATTTTAGCATTTTATAGAGGCATTGAGTCTGTTGATATAGTATAGTGATGGGAAATACAAAATTAACAGTTATAATACAGCTTAAATTATGTCCACACTTATGAAAAAAATAAACAAAACGAAAAAATTGAGAGGATTATAAAACTAAGAAAACAATAACAATAAAGCTTGATGTTATAAGAGTGGAGAAAATGGTTTATTTAGTGGTGCTAAGAAGGTTAGTTAGTTCATTTCTGACACTATTTTCATCACATAAAGTACGTGCTAAATATGGTATAGTGGAATTTTTATACTTAGACGTACGTGCATAAAGTCTTCTGAAAAGACTTCTTGTTTTACCTGAGGAGACACAAGGTTGGAGCTGCGGGTAGAGTGGGTGCTCAGAGTCTGACAAAATTCCTTTAGCGAATTTGTTGCATGACATCAAGTGCCTATCAGTGACAATGTCAACGATATGGCCCAATGGGATACCACTCGTCCTACTGACAGTCTTCAGAGTTCTACGAAGTATGACATAGTCCTTTTTAAGCAATCCAGGAAAGAATAAGGGTGAACAGTAAAGAAGAATAGGTAAAATACACGAGTTGATAAACTGTAAGAGGAGTGGTTGAGTTATGCCTGAGTGCCTTAACTTCTTAATGTAAAAAGTCAGACGAAATATTCTTTTAGAAATCGCTAAGACATGAGAGGACCAGGATAGGTCAGAAGAGAGAATTAATCCAAGATACTTAACTTCAGACTTGGTTTCTACATCAGTATCATCGATTTTGCAAGGGTCATAGGAACCAACGGCTTCATTTAACTTTCGTTTACATCGGAAACTGAAATTAACAGTCTGACATTTGGAAGGATTAAGTTTAAGGCCGTTTGACGAAGACCATTTGCTAATTCCTGATAGAAAGTTGTTTATCTTAGTGCAGTCAAGCTGGGAGTTAACAGACATTGAAATAGTTAGATCATCGGCATTCTTAACAAAGTTCATTTCATCAGAGTGAGGCAAGTCATGCAAGAAGAAAGAAAACAGAAAAGGAGAAAGGACAGCGCCTTGAGGGACACCAGCCTCAGTAAGCAATGAGTACTGAATAACTGGTAGTAATTCATTAAATGAAGAGTTTTTTGACGCTTTAAGACGAGTCCCAGTACATTTGGTATATGGTTCTCTCTTTTCACCTACAAGAAGATCCTGTGAAACTGATCTAAGCTTACTTCCACATTAGTTACTGGGAATGAAGAGTTGGGACTCCTTATCCAACCACTAATAGCTGTTAAACATAAGCGTCTATATAGATTGTCAGAGCTCTAGTAGAAGCCTTCAGTGTTGTGTTAATCAAGTCAAGTGTACATGTAGTTGATCGTCTGTCTTATTAATCAGCATTAGTTGAAATAACATTTGCTGTTATGTCTCATTTTGTAAGGTTGTGGCTTGTGCTACTGACAAGATTTATCAGTAGTATATATGGACACAGACTGATAGGAAGTAGCCAACACTGTAAACAATATTTTAAGTTAGTGGCTAGAGAAATAAAAGTGTTTATTTCTCAAATCTAGATCTAGCGTACGTTGTGGTCAGGAAGTAATCTCAGGGTTCAACCTTCAGATTATCAACAACCTGTCAGAATAGTTTCTTATCCGCTTACTTAACCAAACCATAAATTTGGCTTAAAATGTATAAATATGGTGTGATTTTCCACAATGAAAATGTCCATTTCCAAGTCTCTTCCTTTCTCCCATTACAAGATAATTAGATTTTTACGCACTTGTTTATTATAAAAAAGAAGAAGTATAAGCGGGGAAATTCCCTCCCGAATATATTTCCTTCACACTTTACTCAAGTATGCACAATTTAGAGATTTGTACACGATTACGATTTCAAAACGAAACTGCCTTGAAATTTCACCTCGAACTGTGCCATTTTCTTGAATTAAGAATTCGATGTATTCAACGCATTACTAATTCATCCAATTAGTTAGCCATGATTCTAGCGGTTTAAAGTGACTCTCCCCTTTGGCAGGAGTAAACACTGGATACACCTCAGATAAGCTCGGTGCTAAACGAGCTGAAGTCCAGTGTTTATACACGGATAACCAATGATGGTAACCTGTAGTTCAGTGATCACTTTTGAGTCAATACGTGCATAAGACTTGAACATTTCGGTTGCATGTAATCCCACTTTAATTACATGTGTTGAAAATTATGCCAGAAGTATCGGCGATAAATAAGAATCGCACACGTGATTTTAATGTCCCAAATTGGTGGAGATATTTTTATGATAAAAAACTTAAACTATTTACAATTTGTGAGTAGTATATTTTTTCAAACAAAAACAACCCCTACCAGTTAAAATTAGATCAACTTCAGACGCAATATGGGTTTCTGAGGCTATTCGTTGCGAAATATTCACTCCTTGTGTAAAATCTTCAATTGAAGTTTTCATTGACAGTATATATTGATTGTACGATGCAACTTTAGCCTATTTGAAACAAGATTCAATCCTCTGATGACATTTTCCCTTTATTTTCTTCTTGAAGTGTGCAGTGGTAGTGTAACGGGAGAAGACAAGCGACTTGGATTTTAAGGAAAAACATACTATATCTATACATTTTTAGCCACATTCCAGGTTGGCTAGGTCAGAGGGTAATAAACTATTCTGATTGGTTGTTAGTTTTCCGAAGGTTAAACCTTGAGAAGAGTAGTTGTTATTATTATTGTTCCCTTCGGTTCCAAGTGGAACATAGGGCTTCAACTGCACGTCTCCACTTGCTTCTGTCTTCTGCCGTACTTTTCACCTGCATCCATGTTAGTCCATACTGTTTCAGCTCTTCTTCACACGATCTCCTCCATGTCACCCTTGGACGTTCCATTCGCCGCTTCCCTTTCGGGTTCCACTCGAGCGTTGGCCTGACGCGTGATGTCACCCAGCGGCCTCCTCAGCGAGTGTCCAATCCATCTCCACTTTCTCCTGCATATTTGTTGAGTGATTGGTTCTTGCTTTGTTTGTTCCCATAGTCTCTTGTTTGTG